ATGGACAGATCGAGCATATCTACACATAGCAATATGAAGGCTCTCATCAACCATGTTGCATAGAAGTTCATCTGAGATACCTGAGACATCCAAGCTAGATGAATGTATACGTCTTTTGGAAGTGAGAGAATGATACTTGGATGGCTGACTTCCAGATGTAGATATCGATAGAACTGTTCTCCCATGAGATACTTTATGTTTTAGCTCAGTTTTCAAGCGGTCATTTTCTTCTTTAAGTCTTGCCAGTTCACCAGTGAGCACATCAGTCATTAGATATGTTTCTTCTCGATCATCTTGTACTCTAGAAAATTCTTCCAGAAGGTCTCTATGTTTGACTCTAAGCTGACTAAGTTGTTTGGACAAGTCATAGCATTCTCGGTACACTTCATCACTAGCTCTTCCATAAAAGTAGTCACCTTCCACTCCACTTTCTCCAGCATAATAGTTATTTTTTTAGAATTCTGACTATACTTCCTTTCCTTTATGAGAAATTTTAGCCATGAATGTTATGCAAGTAGAGGTATTCTTGTCATTATTGATGAGTGAAATGTCAGGACTCCCAAGATGTTCAGCAAGTTCGTCAGCTGAGCTGGTAGAGATGGTCAGCTTCTTTAGTCGCCATACTTTAAAGATTTTCTTTGCAGAAGACTTGCTGACAAGGAGTTCAAGATCTTTTCTCTTGGCTTCAAGTGAAGTCATTGTCCATCTCAGTTCAGATTATCTGTTAATCCTCTTGTTAGCTCGTCTCTTCCTGCAGAATCTCCGTATATGTCCAGCCTGACCACAGAAGTAACAGCTTCAAACTTTTTGTTGTTGAATGATGCCTTGTCTTGCTTTAGAAGGTTGTATCTCTTTGGCAGCCCTGTAGCCTAGTCCGGTCTTGTCATGAGTACTCCTAGACACCATAAGAAGGTGGTCTAGATCCAATGTCTTAGAGGATGAAGTATGATTCTCTGTCTTCTCTATAGATATCTTCATTCGCTTCAACTCCAGAGATAGAATCTCCTTTTCATCAGATATAGACTTTATAAAAGACTTTAGATTTATGACTTGATCTTGAAGTTGCTCTTTATATGTTTGAAGAACTTGACACTTGTCATTTAGATCCTTGACTTTAGCCTTGTTGATTTTCAGTTTTTCTGCCGCTTTTTATATTCTTCATAGACTTTATTGTAGGCCGACTGGAGATCTCCATCTTCAGAGTAACTATCTTCACTTTCCCGACCTGTGGTCTCACACTCAGGCTGAGTACGACAAATAGCCATTAGAGCTCTCTTGGAGGTGGAGTCCTCTTCATCTGATGAGTCAAAGTCACTCTCTGTATCTGAATCAAAACCCGATTTAGCTTTCATGGCCTTGGGTCTAGAGGTGTTATTGGGACACATTGTAGATATGTTCCCAATTCCTCCACATGTATGTAAATGTTATATCTTATGAATTGTGACAAACAAGGGCAAAACGGATATTTCACATGTTATGTTATATTATGAGTCCTTGTATTAGGTCTAGTTCTTGGTGTACAAGTGTCCGGAAGGCTTCGGAGCTAAAGACATCAAGAATGGACGCGATCGGCGGCAACCGAGCACAACCGGGAAAAAACCGAGTCAAGCAGGTAGGTCAAGCAGACTGGACAAGCAGGCAGCTGAACCTGTTGGAGTCGATTGAAGGCTAATCAGAGAATGACAACTCATTAAGGTCAGTCGACGGACCCTTTAGTGGCAGTTCAGTAAATATAAGGTCAGTCGACTGACTGACGGGAATTCCAGTTTTTTTAGCCCGTTTGGTTTTCTAGCTTAGTCAAAACCCTAATTGGTCAATTGACTTTGACCAACGGATATTTGATGGTTTTAACTATAAAAGCAACATAACAAGATGGATTTCACAAGGACTTTGTTTATTTCTTCAAGAGACAAAACCCTAGCCTTTGTGAGAGAAGCTTCAAGAGAGAAATCAATCATCTTCTTTCCATTCACTCACTTCAATTCTTTCATTCCAAGTGAGTATGAGTGAATGTTGTATATGGGTATTGTTATAAACCCATAAAGTGTTTTATCTTTCTTTCTCTATCATTCTCATTGAGTGAGACTTTGAAGAGAGAAAAACCCCTTTTACCAAAGGTGATTCCTTTGATGTGATTTCTTCTTGTTGAAGACAAGAGAGGTGAAACCCTTGAGAAGGAGTTCAAGGTGAGGTGCTTGGTGATTAGCTTCTTCAAACCCTAGTGGATTCTAGGTTTGAGATTTTAGGAGAAAATCTCTACAACTTTCAAGTTAGATTAAATCAACACTAATGGGAGTGGTATAGAGTTGTTGGAGGTGTTCCAAGGCTTTGGATTTATCTTAATAGCAAGAAGCGACTTGAAGAGTGGACGTAGGCAATCTTGTGCCGAACCACTATACATCTTGTGTCTTTGGTTTGCTTTCTTGTTCTTATTATTATCTATATGCTTGGTAGTTGTAGTTATAGATTAATATCACCAACTTACATCTCTAGTTGGTAGTCCTTGAACCGGAAGGTGGGAGTGCCTCTTTCTCTACCCACCTCAAGAAGTTTTTGGCTACTTGTAAAAGTATTGGGAGTTTCATTGTTTTAGAGTTGTGGTTTCAACAAACCCATACTCATGAAGACATGACTCCAAGGACTAGAGTTGGTTAGTTGTGAGTAGTATTCTAGACTACTTTCTTGTTCATCTTTTCATGCTCTACCTTTCCATATCTTGTTATCTTGCTTGTTAGTTGCTTTAGACTTGATAGACTTGCTTAGTGTAATCTTTCTATTCCGCATTTAGTTTTTCCTAAGCATATCTGTTAGTGTCAGTTTCTTCGATAAGTGACAGTTTATCTTTGTTGTACCTCTTGGGGGTGATATTTTCCAGTAAGTTTTTAAATAGACTATTCACCCCCCCCTCTAGTGTATTGGACACCATTGTGTAGATCTCACAAGGCATTCACATAAAACAAGATATACCAAACTTAAACCAAGAACATGACAAGAATGTGATATCGACACGGGTAACCTTTTCATGTCATGATAAAACCAGGTATAAGAAAGGATCACTTTAAGCACATAAGCTTCTTGTTATCTGAAACACTTAAGATAAAGACGTGAAACACTGAAATCACATATATAAGAAATACAACTAAGTAAAACTTATATATAAAAATAACATCGCACTACTTGTCTCGAACAAGTAACTGCCTACATACCCCAAACAAGGATATATATAAAACGGGGTACATGAGATCAAACGCCTCGTAGTTCGGTTAAAGGGTCCATTTAACACATAAGTGCAAATGAACCCTAAAAGGACCACCTAGTAACTAGGTGCTGGAAGGGATGCTAAGGTGCCTCCAAGTATAAGACTTAGGCACAGATCTACTATGCCTAGTCATAGCA